CCAAACGCCAGTGCGAGGGCTACAACCAACGAGTCATCTTCAAACCACCGATTGGCGACTGGCCGAATCACCCAGGCGTTGTCAGCACCATCCAATATCACACCTCCATGCTTCCTGGCACACGCAATCAATCATTTCGAGGGCCCGAGCCAACTACCGGCATGCAAGAGGGCATGCTTGGTCCAATCCAGCCACGCCCGCACGGTAGCTTCGACTTCTCTCACATGGACGCGAACCCAACTTCAGGGCCTTTGGAACCCCCACAAGCTTACCCTGGAGTGACCCATGGCTACACACACGATCAGGCTTATCAACAGCCTCATCAACAACCTCTGCCATCACCTCTTCACCAACAGCCGCTTTCTTCGCCAAACCACCCTCCACATGGTCATACACCTACCGCTTCATATTTCCCGCCCCCTCAGTCTATGCACACCAGCCCACAGACACAGTATAGGCACGATTCACACGGCACATTTCAACCGCCCATTCAATATACCCAGAGCGCGCCATATCCACCAGTCTCGGTTCCTTACAGCCACGAACCCGCTATAAAAGCCGCAGTCCCTCAGCCCCCGCCACACTATCCACAATCCTACCGGTCTGATAGCCAACAAGCCGAAGGTTCCTATCGGGATTATTCGAGTGTATCACCGCGAAGCGACCAGTATTCTCACTACACGGAAGCGCCACCGGGCATGCAAAGATACGATGGTCATCCGCATGCTCCCGTACACCCTCCGCAAGGAGGCCCCCCGAGCTTCAGCCACGTTGGAACTCACAATTACCCAGCAGCAGTTTCTCACGCTGACTTCAGTCATGCAAGCTATCCTCCTGTGCAGATGCCCATTCATGATATAACCCCAGATGTAAAGTATATGTCTCAGCCTGTCCTCGGTATGTCTCGTGTCTAGTTAAAACCTCATATACCCCAATGACTATCGTTATTCTCTTCGTGTCCCAACCCATTGTCAATCCATAAATTCGTGCATGTCTTCTAAGCCTGGGGTTCCTTAAGTCACCCCAGGTGCGACAGCACGCTACTCTTTATCATCTGTACATGTCCGTGAATGTTTCCAGGCTAACTTGTGGTGTATACAGACCAACCTACCGCCGTATCACAAAAGCAACGATCTCAACCGCAACTTCTCGGCGGATTCGATATCGACGATCATGTCAGTCCTACGCAGGTTCTCGACGAAGCCGCGATCGAAAACGAAGACGACGACTACTGGGACGTTCAATCGGACGAAGAAATGTTTGAAGCGGAGACAATCGAGGATGAACAGGCTCTACTTGCGAGCAAGGAATTCAGCAACATCCGTCGCATACACCTTGAGAACTACAACGAGCTTGGAATCAGACGATACGATGCGTTCTTGTACGACGGGTTACTGTCGCACTATAGACCAGAGTATGCAGCAAGCCCCCTGCGCAATCCTAAGACTGCGAGGGTTTTCGCACACTACATTCATGTGGTAAGCTCGACGGGCCCATTAGGCCGTGATCAACCAAATTGGGCAGAGTTACTAATGTATGATAGACCGGACCTACACTGTCGATGTACGAACGAAATCCTCGAAACCCTACCCTCATTTTTGAAAGCACTACACACCCAGCTCAGCAGGGACTCTGGACACATACACTACCTCTGAAGGCTCTGAGCCACCAAGGTCTTCTACACGCCATGCTGGCCCTTGCGAGTCTGCACATTGCGAGACTTCAAGGTGCTTCTATAACGCCGTCCTACAAGCACTACGCATACTCTTTAAAACGCCTTGTTCGCTCTCTGGGCAACCCTACCAAACGCCTATCAACAAACACACTAGCGACGTCTCTGCTCCTAGCCTTTTACGAAGTATGGACAGCAGAGCATGTGAAATGGGGAACACATCTCGTCGGCGCCCAGCGCCTGATCACCGAGCTCGATTTCAGGTCACTCACGCGAGAGTACAGACGCATGCGAGCAGCGCAGACGGCGATGGAACGGCAGTTCCCACATCAGAATCCAGAGATGCTGTTTGACCAACGACAGTTCGACCAAAGGCTCAAAGACAGCGCTTTGATGCCAGATCAGGGTCTCGTGAGCACGATCGTGGGGAAGAAGGTCAACTATGACGACTTTGGAATGGTGTTTGAGGACAATGGCGCGAGACATGACGCGAGGCAAAGCATTCCTGCAAAACTGGACTTGCAAAGTTACGAGACGCTTCAGGATATTTATTGGTCGTATGCTAGGCATGATGTTTACCAGAGCATCGTAAGCGGCCATCGTCTCATGTAAGTGAACCAAGTCTGGATCTAGGAATTGAGACTAACGTTAAGCAGTAACCCCTACCGCAAATGGTCCGATTGTCCCCCAAGAGCACCACTCGGCCGAACCGATGCCCTTTATGGCTCACACGATCACATCATTCTTCTCCTAGGTCGTATCGCAGACTTTACAGTTCGAGACCGCACTCGCAAACTTCGACAAGTGGAAGCGGATGGTGGATGGCGACCTCGCCCAGGTATGCCTGGTTTTGGCAGCATGGGACCACCTCCCAGCGGCCCACCTGGTCAACAACAAATGCATGCGGGTTCTGGAGGGCCTCCACCTCAGATGCAAGGTCCGCCGCCAGGATGGAAAGGACCTCCACCACCAGGATGGACAGGGCAAGGACCACCACAGCCACCACCAGGCTTTGGCCCACCCCCCGGATCGACTGGAGGACCACCTCGAAGCCAACCACCACCCATGCCCAATTTCTACGGCATGGCCCCCTCAGCAGGTCCAGGCCCCATCCTCTCCAGCTACGAAAACCCAAACTACGAACGCTCACCCCCCACCCCCAACGTACCCAACCCGCAACACGCCGACCTACCCACCCTATACGAGAAAGCAGTGTCAGAATGGGAAACCATCATGGACGCCCACACATCCGTGTTACGAGTTCTAGAACAAAGCGAAGGCTTTGCTCCATTACCAGAAGACACCTACCCACCACCCGTACCAGGAGGCCGGCCCCACGAACACGGTGGAAACATGACACCCTTCGGCCCAGCCATTCTACACAGAACCTACGACATATCCATCCTATGGGGCCTCGCCTATCTCTCCAAAATCATCCTTTTGAGATCCCACCCTGGCATGCCACCCGCCGCGCAAATGGCCGCTGGAGTCTGCGCCTCCGTTACAGCACCTTACTGCATGCTCATCGGCCGTATATGGGCTAGCGTCAGCATACCCGTTACATCAGACCTCTCCCCTTTCCTCGGCGCCGTCCTAACAGAATCAACCCTCTCCCTTTTCTTCGCTGGAATCACGTTCCAGGACCCGCGGCAGCGCGAATGGCTCATCACGCGGTTGCTTGAAACGGATAAGAAAACGGGGTGGGCGAGCGCGGGGATCATTGCGAAGGGGTGCGAGACGGCGTGGGAGAAGGCGGCGGAGATGGGGAGGGGGCCGCCGTATAAGAGGAGGACTAAGAAGGTGCAGCCTGTGGATAGAGAGGAGGTTGGGGTGGAGGCTGGACGGGAGGGTGTAAGAGGGAAGGAGAGGGAAGAGGGGAGGGTGCAGGAGATTGGCGAGACGAGGTTTGTGGTTAAGAGTCAGAGACCGCCTTGGGCTATGAATCTTTTGGGGACGGAGGAGGATCTTAGGGTGGGCATGGAGAGGTTTGGGCTTTGAGAGGGAGGGAGGGATGAGATGGAATGGAATGGAGGAGAGGGAGATATTGATGGGGGTGGGGGAATCAAGCCGAGAATATGAGAGTAAGAGAAGGTACTCGGAAAGCAGATCGCGTAGCACCTGGGAAGGTACTCATCCAATGCGCCAGAAGCACAAGATTCGAAGCCGGCCAAGAACAGAGGGAACGAATATCGCCAGCTTCATCAGCATACCACAAACCCCGTCTCGAAAGGTTAGGCGCAGAGAACCCCTCTATGCCTTCGAATTCCATTAGGGAAGGACAGGGCCTACACGCCACACGCGCATCGAAACATACCAACTGTCCAAGCCCAACAAAGCACGCGATCGCACCTCAAAGTCTATCCATCTGTTCCTCCAAAGCAGAGCATACACACCAACCTACAACAACACAACGTCTTCTCTCCGAAAGCTCTCACATACACCTCTTGCTTCGAGCGAGCTCCTAGTCATCCAGCAAACCTTTCTTCCCGATTTGCTTGCTTCCCAGCGACACTCACACTTCACGCCTAACGCGATAACGACCCATCACGAACCCACACAATACAACACAATACAATACACTCATCATCTTAGAAAAGAACAAGAAACCTTGGAAAAGCATCGCGGAGGCTGGACATTCGTCACATTGAAATATTGAGGTTTAGAAAGCGTGGAGGAGATTTGACGTTTAACGGAAGTGTGCGGTATCGGGAAACCTATCGTTCGAATCGAAGATATACGTTAGCTTGATGTCCTGTTATCTTGTTGTCAGGGCGATGGACATGTATAGTGTAGATAAGTTTGCATATAGAGACGACATTAGCGTACCAGCAGAAGTCGTTTGTGTGTTTTTGTTGACGTCGGCCCCATCGGCTGAGACGTTGGTTTACCAATGTACCAACACACGGACAGATACTCTGGGAAACGTTGCGTGCAGGGTCTTGAAGTACGACAGTGAAACAGATGTCCACAGGGAGTCAGACGAAATGTGAATTCTAGGAAAAAAAGCCGTGAATTTGTCTACATATGCCGCCCCGAAAAAACAAAGATCCCAAAATCGCGCCTGCTCGCTGAACATGAGTTTTGATATCTTTGATGACTCGTGTTGCCGATGGGATGTATGGATGCCACCAAACGCCTCTCTTCCTTCTTTGAAACACCCAGCAAGAATCGTGTCGTATGAAGATCCAGATGAAACAAGGATTATGCTGCGTTGCCGTGTGATCTTAATTATGCCAAAAAACTCCGATATTGCGCCCAACCCCGTAAGTCGTCGCGTTCGCGCGACGGCTTCTTTGCCCCAACTACTGCCGTTATTTCTTCGTCGCGTCTAGAAGAAGTAGTAAAGGAATCCTCCACCAGCAGTCATGAAAACGCCGAACCACCACCATTGGTCGGCCCTGACGGCACCGGTTGTTCGCGCGTAGATGACTTCGTGGTTCATGGGTAGTTCGCCGCGCTTGGAGTTCTTGGATGCGGCGGTTTGGGTAACGAGGGGGTTGAGTGTCGTGGTGGGGAGCATCTTGGGTGACTTCATGGCGAGGTAGAGAGGCATCATCGGGGCGCCGTCGGACTTGAAGAGCGTGATGCGCGGGGTGCCTACGTGGTACTGGTCTGAGGCGACGTATTCGTATGTCTGGAGAGAGGTTAGTATGGCGTATGGCGTATTTGGGTGCTTGGCAGGCATCTCAACATACCTTGAACTTCTCGGTCGCGTTGTATCGTGTGTAGACGGCGGTCTTGTACTGGCACGGGTCGGAGTATAGTTGTCTGCCGTCCACCTTGATGGGCTTGAGGACGAGGCCGCCCTGTGCCGTTTTCTCGTAGCTTCCGTGTTGCCATTGGATTATGCCCTGGGGGCATTTGGGATTGGTGGCTGTCATGCTTGTCAGCGAACGCTCTGCTATCTTATGGTGTCTATCCGGGTAGTGCTGAGGTGACTGCGGGCAACGTACGATTTGCGATTGCGCGGTAGTATGCCGATTCAAAATGGCCGTCCGCGGTAAAGGAGTAGCTGATGCCGGTGTGCTTGGGCTCGGTGAATTTCTCGTTGACGGGGTCGTAGAAGTCCTATGCGGGTGGTTAGTCTTGTCTCCTCTGCGGACATGGATAGAAGCGCATACAGGTCCGGTCATGGTCGAATTCGACTTGCTTGTCCATGTGCCGACGAGCTCTGCAGGAACGGCGGCAGTTTGGGCTTGCGCATGCAGGACTGCGACTCCTGAGAGCAGTAGGGCGGCTATCCGTGACAACATGATGCGTGCGGTGTGTGGGTGTCGGCGTGAGAGAACGAGTGTGGACGGTCGGTGGTGTGCGGAAGCGAGCGTGGGTGCACGAAGGCGGGAGGGCGTAGGGGTGGTGGGTAGATGAGGCGGGCGTGGGTGGTTGTTGAGGGAGGATGTTTGGGAATGTTTGAGTGTCGCCGCCTCCTGGCTTGGGTCCAATCGACAGGGATCACGCGGCTACTTGCAGATCATCACCGGCCTCCGGTGGGCAAGCCCGACATCATCGCCCGCACCCGCAGCGGATCTTTTAGCTGTTTGGGTCCTTCTTTGCTTTGCGACGACTCCCTATATATTTGCCGATGCGATCAGGACATCTATTGCTCTCTGCTACATCCCATCTCAGTACCACAACACCAGATTCGACATCCGGAGTACCGGCGCTATCTTTGTACACTTGGAACGCCGTTACGCTTGCAATCAAAAGACGCTATGGCCGCATCACTAGCAGCTGTCAAGAAGGAATTGCGATCCAAGATTAGGGATGTCTTGAAAGGTATACCCGACGCGGTTGCTGCCACGCAAAGTACGTCATGCATTGTCTTGTTGCTGCGTCTACTGATGCTCCCAAGCATCTAATGCAACCAAAACCCTACTGTCCATGCCCGAGTATAAGGCGGCGCGCAGAATAAGCGTCTACCTGTCGATGCCGGGCGGTGAGATATCCACGAGCGAGATTGTGCGCAATGCGTTTGATGAGGGCAAGAAGGTTTTCATTCCCTACACGTATAAATTGGACGCACCCAAAGATGGCCAGCCAAAGTCCATTATGGACATGGTAGAGCTGCAGTCGATGAAAGACTTTGAATCTTTGGAAGCCGACAAATGGGGTATTCCAACACCGAGCAAAGACTCCATATCGTCACGTGCGAACTGCTTTGGTGGAACCGGCATCACGAATGGAGAGACTAATGGTCTGAGTGCCGGCCTTGATCTGATCGTCATGCCGGGTATGGCTTTCGACTCGCAGTTCGGCCGGCTGGGCCACGGCAAAGGTTTCTACGACTATTTCTTGACGCGCTGTCACCAGGTATCGCGCATGCCTTTTCGCGGTAAGAACTACTGGTATTGTGTATTTGGAGGGCTAACTAACCAAGTTGAAGTTGGCCTCTCGTTAACAGAGCAGTTCCTGCCACCAAACGAGTCGGTTCCCATGGACGCCTCCGATTTCCGCCTGGACGCCTTGATCACTGGTGATGGCGAGCTCCGTCGCGTGGAGCCTTGATATCGTCCCACAAACTTTTGCATGAGATCGTCCGCACTACATGGCCTTGTCTTCCTCCCAGCCTGGCGTATGCGCCGTGTCCATTATGTGTCTTTGCGACTGTGCGGGGTGAGTTGGCGTTCGCGCTTATTGGAGTTGCTGGATGAGAGAGATGTTGTCGCCCTTCAACAGGATCTGACCGACGTTGCGCCTCTCCTCTGGTGTGTCCTTCTTCGCGAGCGTGACTTCGATGGCGTCGTCGATAACGAGGTTCATGAATTCGTCGAAACCCTACACAACTATTAGCAGCAGTCATATTGAGGTAGTTAGGCAGTCGTACCCTCAGCTTTCCCTCAATGCGCATGCCCAGGTTCTCGTACAGCCATACCGAGATGGTCGCCCGTGATTGCAGGAGCTTGAAGATGAAGTTGATAGGAGGAAGGAGAACTGCAGAGTTATTAGCTGCTGTCGCGGCGCATGCATGTGGGAGCTGTCGTACCCTTTCCTCCACCGCGGCCTGCACAAGTTAGCTAGTCGTCTTCAAACAGCGCAGATATACTGACCACCACGTCCAGTCATTGTGAAGATTTAAATGCGCGTCTCCGGTAGTTCTCGTAGTCGTAAGGGCGGAGTCGGGGCGCAATGTGGGGAGAGGCTCGGAGGAGAGCTGTGGTTGCAGGAACATTTCTGGCGCGACCTGAGCGGTCACAAACGCCTTGGCACCAACGTGGGGATCTTCGTGCTGCTTTGACTATGCGACCGAACGCAACTTCCCGTCCCCGAACAAACTCACCACCACCACAACAACTGCCGCCCTGCCTGCCTCCTCTCCGCTTGCACCTTCCTTCCGCTGCACCCTGGTAATAAGTCAGTTGATGCGCGCAATATAATCCACGCCCCACCGCCTTGCTCCGAGCAGTATCCGCATCCGTCCCCCCACTACCACGCCCAATTCCCTCACCATGGCTGCCAACGGACAGCAGGTCTTCGACCCTGTGCTGGCGGCGCACAACACCATGTCGTCGCAGGCGGATCGCGCGCAGAAAGAGCAGGCACATCAGTTTCTGGAGCAGTTCCAGAAGTCGGTACGTAGCATGGGCACGCGTTCAGGAGCATGAGGGGCTGATATGTGACAGGAAGAGGCATGGACAACCACACTGGCTATGCTAGAGGCAAACTCAGCAGATGCCGCTGCCAAGCTTTTTGCTGCTACCACACTCAAGGGAAAGGTGAGTCGTCACTACTCCGTACTTGGGCTGTTCTAACATGTCAGATCGTATACGACCTCCACCAAGTGCCTCGCGCACAGCTGCCAGAGCTCCGAGCATCCATCATGCGGAATCTGGCGACATTCCACGCCGGACCTAAGCCCATACGTCTGCAGCTATGCGTGTGCCTGGCGAATCTGGCCATACAGATGACCGAGTGGAAGGATGTCCTCAAAGACGTGGTCAACGCCCTCGGCTCAGATCCAGCAACGCTCCCTTGCGTCTTGGACTTCCTCCGCGTTCTCCCCGAAGAAGTCACGCATGGACGCAAGATCGCTCTTACAGTACGTCCGAACGAGCCGCGCCCCGTCATCAGCCCACGGCAACTATTCCCCGCGGCGTCGACATATGATAGTAGAGTTGTAGTCTAATATGTGGTGGTCAGGAACACGAGTTGACTATGAGGACGGCCGAGTTGATCGACGACAACGCCCAACAAGCCCTGGAGCTTCTCATACGATATGGCACATCTTCCCGTACGTCTACAGCCGTTCTTTCAATCCACTTCCACTGACTTTGAACAGCCGCTGCCGCACAAAACCCACAGTTACTAAACTGCATCACTTCCTGGATACGCGAGATACCACTGGATGCCATCATAAACTCTCCCCTTCTCAAGATCATCGTCGAGGATCTGTCCCTGGATGATCCATTCGAGGCCGCTGTTGAGTGTCTGAGCGCCTTGATCGCGGAGACCAGGGATGTCGATGAGACCCTCCAGTCGATAATGGTCCTCTACCCGCAGGTCATCAACCTCCAAACCAAGCTCGCCGAGGCAGCTCAAGAGGAGGATACGGAAAAGTTCAAGGGCATCGCCAGGATATTCGCCGAAGCTGGAGAATCGTGGGTCATTCTCATCGCTCGCCTGCCGACCGACTTCCGCGCTTTAGTACAAGCCATACTTGCGACAGCTGCATTGGACAAAGAGAGGGATGCCATATCTCACACGTTCAAGTTCTGGTATGATCTTAAGCAGTATCTCACCATCGACAAATATGCCGAAGCGCGCAACCAGTGCATGGATATCTACTCTAAGTTGGTAGACATCATGATTGGTCACCTGGAGTTCCCCAAGCCGGAGTCTGGCGACGAGAAGGATCTGTTCGAGGGCGATCGCGACCAGGAAGAAAAGTTCCGCGAGTTCCGTCATCAGATGGGCGATGTGCTGAAGGATTGCTGCGAGGTTATGGGCGTCGTCGAGTGTCTTCAAAAGCCCTACGACCTCATGCAACAATGGGTACAAACATATGGCGCTCAAGCCAGTGCAAACAGCGTGCCCGAGTGGCAGAAGCTGGAAGCGCCTTTGTTCGCTGTTAGGGCTATGGGTCGCATGGTTCCTCCGGACGAGAACATAATGCTACCTCGCCTAATCCCCCTCATCGCAGGCATACCCGACCACCACAAGCTACGCTTCCAGGCTGTCATGGCTCTGGGAAGATACACCGAGTGGACCGCACAGCACCCCGATACGCTTCAGTTACAACTGGATTACATCATGGCAGCCTTCGATCATTCCGCCAAGGACGTGATCCGAGCCGCTGCTCTATCATTCAAATTCTTTTGCAACGACTGCGCGAGCCTGTTGGTCAACTTTGTCGGCCCGCTTCAACAGTTCTATGCGAAGAACCTCAACAAGTTACCGATCAGCAGTCAGGAAGAGATTACAGAAGGTGTTGCGTCAGTGGTCGCTAGGGTACCCAACGACCAGCTTCTAGCAACACTCAAGCTCTACCTCGACCCAGTCATGGCTCACCTAATCGAAGTTGCGCGACAAGCAAAGGATGAGGCGGACCAAAAGCTCATCGCCGACAAGATCAATCTGTTGACCATCTTCTTCGAGATGGTCAGGCCAGAGATTCCAGCTGGTCAAGAACATCCCGCTGTCAAGTACTGCCAAGAGATTTTCCCTACTCTCGCTAATATGATCACGCACTTTAACGCAAGCATACCCATCCTCGAACGTGTCTGTCGATGCTGGCGATACATGGTGCTCTCCTACCGTACAGCCATGCGTCCGCTCCTACCAGATCTCGCGACTAAGCTGATTGAGGGCTTCGACAAGTCAAGGCAGGGTTGCTTCCTGTGGGCGACGGCGTCGATAGTACGAGAGTTTTCGCAGGGTGTAGACGATGTCGACCCAAGCCTAGCAAACGACGTCTACCAGTTCTACGAGCAGCAAGCGAAGACCTTCCTACGGATACTGAGCGACCTGCCCCCAGAGGAGCTTCCTGACCTCATTGAGGACTACTTCCGCCTTGCCGCCGACATGGCACTCTACTTTCCCTCAGAATCGATCATGTCGCCACTTATGGACACTGTTCTTCTTGCAGCTTGCAGTTCCCTGACACTGCTCAAGGAGGATCCCATCATTGCAGTGCTGCACTTCCTACGCGACTTGCTTGGATACGGTCGCAACTCGTCGCCCTCATCTAGCTTTGACAACACGCGTCACGAAGTGCCCGAGCAACTGCGGAACCGCGTCAAGCAACTTGTTATGGGTGCTGGCGTTCAACTAGTCCAGCGCATCATGACTGGCATGATGTACAGCTTCCCTGAGGGCTGCTTCGCGGACTCTTCTGGCGTGCTCCTCGACCTGTTCGAGCTTATGCCTGAGCAGGTCGCTCAGTGGGTAGCTAGTACCGTTGGCATGTTACCCCAAGGCAGTATCACACCTCAAGAAAGCGAGCGATTCCTAAATAACATTCGACAACGTATCCAGACTGGCGATGTCAGGATGATAAGGACTATCCTACAAGACTTCACCACTAGTTACCGACGCCGGAACGTTGCGCCCCGCGAAGGCCTCGGTAGACTGGAAGCTTCGCGGTTCAGGTTCTCTGGTTAGATGCTGGATGCCGAAGCACGAATTCTGTTCCAGAACGTGGACGCGCGGAAGCCTACAGAGCCACTCACACGTTCTGCGCTTCTTCTCCACACGGTTCAGTCTAACGCCTCCCGGTTTCAGTAACATAGTGGTGGTGTGTTTGGGTGCGTGGTGTAGTGTGTATCGAATAGCATAATTGTACTTGAAGCGTTAGTGTGTGGGCATTTGCATGGAAGATCGGGACACGGAAGGACAGGATACCATCGGTGGAACAGAGTGGGGGTTATTGTTCAGATCTGCTTAGATACCGTTTACTTCTATACTTCACATCGTTTCGTCGTCGCCGGTTGGCTACTCTTGGCCATATGACGTGATTGCAGTAGTTTGACGTTCGCTCCTGCACTTCGAGTGACGTCGGGCAGCGCTCCTTCTTGGCTAAAAATGAGTGTGCAAGACGTCGATCGGATGGCAGCGACGACCTATCGTGGCCCCAACAAACAACAACTTCGTCATACCAACTTCCTCGTCACTCACAATTTGGTCTATTGCTGAGCGCTTACCAATACCTAGGCACAGCCTTTCGGCTATCGAACAGCATCCTCTCTGAGCACCTATCACCTCAGTGTCCATCTCATCCTTTGGCCCACCGCCAGCAACACTACCTTGAACACCTGTTACCACCCGGCACACGCTAGCTCGACCTTCTCCGCTTCTTCCATATACCGTTACAGATCTGTATCTTCATCTGAAGTTCGTCGGCACCGAAGGTGACCACTCCACGTTAGGTGCGCGCCAAGTTTCATGGTGAAGGTCGTGAGATCAGAGTTGACAGCAGACTTCAGCAGGGCCGATTCGCGAACGTAACAACGTTCCCATTTACCTGCGGTTCCTGCGCACCTCCAGCCTGGTATTGGCAAGAACAATATCGGCAGAGCCTAAAGCTCGCAACCATACAAGAAACGACCATCCTGGATCCCCCATACGGGCGACCCGGCCTAGCGAGAGCTAACTCCACAGGATCCGGCACTAGACCCATCTCGATCAGATCAAGCACGTCGAGCGCATCTCAAACTTCTACCCAAACTTCAAGCCGGTCAAGGAGACACTCGCAGCCAGCTCTTCCCCCAACCCTTGCGGAGAGAATTGCACTAGGACCTCAGCTTAACCCATATCATAGCAAGAATCCTCATCGTCTAGACCGATATACCAGCGTTCGGGACGTCTATCTTGCTAGACAGGAGCAGCGTACAAAAGAAGCCGCACATCAGGAAGAGAGACTCCATCAACTTCGGCTCGAAAAGCGCAGGGGTACCCGCCAACTTGACGGTTCAAGATCAGCTGGAACTTCACCAGCCCTGAGTCGAACAAACTCGAATTCAGATCTCACTCGAACATCTTCCCTCAAGAACCTCGCCAGAGAACTGACGACGTTCGACAAGTTCGGACCTATCAGGCGCGCAGACACGGGTGACTCTACCGCATCTTCATCGGGACAGTCAAACAAATCCAAGAAGTCGAGCCTCTCTCGGGTATTGACGGCTGACCGCTATGATCGAGACTCTCAAAGAAATGAAGCACGGCAAGAGCGGCAGCTACGAGAGCCTGGCGCTGGAACGAACGGCGAGCCAGATTCTGCATCGCATGGAGGACAAAGACTCGGAGGACTCTCTGGAAAGCACGCGGACAAGAGTACTCGGTATGTACCTTATTTAGCTCCGTGCTCTTTATCGCGGGCGACTGATCTATACTAGCGAACGCGCGCGCGATATATGGACCGAATCGTTGTCTAGACGTGATCAGTTTCGCTCCGACTTCCTCAAGAAAAATTGGAGCTTGCATCGTCGAGCACAATCCTTCGAGTAGATCGTACGTGCACTGCTGCTCTGCGAAAGAGGACTCACGTCTCGGTGCCATGGAACACTTGCTCGTCATCACCGAAGATCTGCTCCAGCGACTCATGGACGCCGAGGGCATCACGAGTAGTGGATGGTTGCCCGCCACGCCACAGTCACATCATGCAGCGATGTACGGGAGTGCGCCGGGCAGTGTAGCGGGTGGAGGCAGTGTGGCGAGCAGTGTGCAGCCAAGTCGAAGGGGCAGTGCTCAACCACAGGAGTAAGATCGCCCTTCTTACGATCTCCGGCCCTTGTATACTCACAAAACCTAGCCTCCTCATCGACTACGCGCAAGGCTCACCACAACTAATACAGCAGTCACCTCAGTTCTCACCGCCCGCCCAGTCGATACCTGCCCAAACCCCCTTCGTCAACGACTTCAACACGCCCTGGTCACCTCACCACATCCAAAAGCCCAAGCTCCCTAGAGGCAGCAGTGACACGGTCTTTCACACCACGGCCAACACTCCCAAGCCAGTCGTCCAAACGATCCCTAGGACTAACAGCGATATTATTCAGCAGCCTAAGCCGGTGCCAATCGGCCAGTTCCAGGGTCCTGGAAGAGGCAGGGTGCAATGGAATCTGGGCTCTGAAGGATAGAAGAGTCGGGTCTTGAGTCATCGGCTGGTCGGGGTCAGAGAGATGATGTGATGGATGCTGCGTACCCTTGAATTGCTGGAGGATAGTTGGACTTGTTGGTTAGAGTTATTCTTATTACGCGAATGCTAGTGTTTTGAACTCCGCGTAATGGTGCACTGATGATGGGCGATGTGTGAATCCGAGTTCAAAGCGAGCACTCTATCGTTGATATTCATGAGAAGCAGCTTCGTTTGCATTCACAAACGATAGCTATCGTCCAGCACGGAGAGACCCATATCTACAGATATCATAGCCCGTGAAACCACCCCCGAACGCCAAATTGCAATGATCATATCGCCATCACAAATGTCCTTCCCGTGCACTTAAGCCTTCTTAGCGAACTCCACGCGGAGAATAAGATGTCCGAAACCGACTGATCACAAAAGTTAGCAACAACACCCAAAACCACAGGCTTATCCAAAAACTTACATCCATCCATCTTCTCACACGCCTTCGCGGCATCCGACCGATCCGCATAACTAACAAACGCAAAGCCCTTGGCGCGACCCGTCTCCCTGTCCTTGGCAAGGAAAACACGAGTAACATGTCCGTACTTGGAGAACATGTCGCGCAGATCTTGCTCTTCGGCGAACTCAGACACGTTGGTAACACGCAGAGTAGCGCTATCGTCGCGGTCGAATTTGCCGCCCATCTTCTCGCCTGCGCCAGCACGGCCACGCAGATGAGGAGGAACGTAGCCGCCAGAGCCGGTGCCCAGACTGCCTCCTGCACCGCCGGGCGCATCGTCTGGCATTTCCGCGGGGGCGACATCGCCTTCGGGGGCCATGGTGTCCTTGAAGGGACATTTTGTGGTGAAATGGTCTCCCTGGCAAATACGGCACTTGATCTTTGCGTTCTTGAGCTCCGCCTTCTTCTTCGCTTCGTCGCCCTTATCTTCATTGCTGGCTTTCCAGTTGGAGACGGGGCGGAAGGCGATGTTTTCGGCGACGGAGACGGTGTCTGTTTGTGGGCCGGCGGGCTTGCCCTTTTCTTGTCCGAATTTCGCCCATTGCTTTCGTTCGGCGACGCGGGGGTTTACGATTTGCTTTACGACGGTCTTCTTGATACGCCGTGTTGTCTTGTATTTCTTGCCGTCTTCGCCGATGCGGTAGGAGATTACGGTTTCGGTGCCGTCTTTGTTCTTGATGACTTGTTGGGGTGGGAGGGAGGTGAGGGAGGACTCCTCGTCTTCTTCTTCCGCCCAGTCGGTGCGGCTGTAGTGGTATTGTCAGCCTGATGCTCTAGAACCCGGAGAGATGTACGCAGAAGCTCGTGGCTTCATATGCGGCTTGCAGCGACGTAGGGGCGACATGGAAGGACGGTAGGCATAGAAAGGCCGAAAAAGGTGCGCATAAACTCACCCTGCTGTTTTGGACATATTTGCGGTTGTGGTTGTGTTGTCGGGGGTGTCGGGGCGGTAGGTAGTCGGGGTCCCTTATGATACAGAAAGTGAGAAGTGGCGGCGGCCGGTGGGGCAATTCAATGTGTGCGGTGCGCCGCCAAGATTTCGCGCTAATAGGTGTTGCGACTCATCACTCCCTTTCACCAGCTTCGTCCAACCATGGTACGCTCAAAAGGCTTCGTTGCATCCTATAGTCACTGTCTCTTCGATTACATAGTTGGCTGCACCTCTTATAGGTTGGTGAGTCATCTTTAAGTTACCTAGGTATTTGCGCAGCTTCATGTCTACCTAGGTATTGCGACATCAGGAGTCAGTCATGAACTGAGTCACTGTTCATGCTTAGGTAGAGTATACTAGCAACAGTCACAGTCATTCAAATTACGTTGGTAGATCTGCATTCCAGTTTCTGGTACACTCATGAGTCACAGCAGTAGCTCGGGCAGGTCGCATTAGTGAAACCATACTCAAGCAAACAGCATGTGAATTCGAAGTCATTACGGCTTCCACTCCATCGCAAATAGCATGCTACCCCGGTAGCTATAGATCTGATCTATTTGGCTAGAGGCAATAGTAGGATGTCTCTACTGACTGTTGTAAGCCTGTGTAACTTTACATTCATACTATTGAGCGGTAAGGATATTAGAGCGAGATGACTGGGGAAGTGTGTGCGAATGCGAGCGTGCTGGGCGCTTGATACTCCATCCTGATTGCTGTCCAGCGTATAGCAAGCCTCAGCGGCCCAGCGACATGTCTATAGAAGTCTACAACGTTGAATGCATCAACAACCACTTGAGCAGCATATCCACTAAGCACAACATCATGAACGAAGCAGAACATGCTGAAACCTTTCCTTTTGAGCGTCTACCCTTAGAGTTACAGAGACACGTCCTCACCTACGTACTTCCTCAATCCCAGAGCATAAAGTTTAGATGGGGCCCATATCCCGAAGAACCCAACTATAAACCGAAATGGATCATCGAGACGCGACCAATAGGCGCTGTGCTTCCTTGGGAGAACCATCATGAAAGAGAAACGAACGGTAGCCAGCACATCAGCGACAGGCTATCCGACTATGCCGCTTTGATACGCGTGAAGACCCTGGCACAAGAAGCGAAAGGTAAGCTACGAATCCATGAATGGGGGCCCCAGAGTCAAAACACGAACTCTCCTTCCTTCATCCTCCAACCCATCCCACAAAGTCCAATCGTCTTTCCACTAACAACAACACCCACAAGCCCTCTTCCTCCACACCAACGAAATCACCCTCGTCGTCACCTCTAGACAATACACCTCCGAACTGCACTTCGGTCCTTTCAAACTGCATCCCCGCCGCCTCAACGTACACACACTGCGTGATATAGGAAACCTCCGCATCATCCTGAACATCCGTTCGGGGGACAGCACGGCCGCGCCGTGTAATCGGCTCCGAGCGCGCTTACAGCAGATCGTCACACAACTCACTCTTCACGCCGAGGACAAGGATCAAAAGTCTCTGTTGAAGAAACTCGAGATCAGTGTGGCGGTCGATAGTCTTGATCTCGTGGATGTCAAGGAAGTCGAGTTGGAAGGATGCGGATGATGGACGTCTTGGGTATCTGGGTGCGATGGACATGGCTGGGTTCATGAAGCGAGCTCCCGAGACGAATCCTTATGTGCCGCATTTTATGTTCGCGCTTGAACCGCTCGTGGGACTTTTTCCCGGTGTGGTTGTTGAGTGTGTGAGGGTGAGGGGTGTGCCGAGCTGGTGTGCTAGGTGTCTTGAACTTTGTGTAAGGGGTCAGGGTGGTGAGTTGATCGAGTTGGACTGGGGACCTGATGTTGTGATGAGGCAGGTTGGTGTGGGTGTTGCGAGGAAACGCCGGGTTAGTGTTACGAGGAAGATGTGGATGCAGCCGGTTTATGACTGGAAGCGGTATGCTGAGGAGAATGGGATCGAGGTTGATGATTGAGAAAGGTAGACTTTAGAAGGTAGGAGATCTGCAAAGCATGCTGATTATGCTTGATTGAACATGTCATTAACTTGATTCTCCATTCCATCACTTCATCTCTACATACACATATACACGTACACAGCACAACAGCCCAGATCGTCCGACAAGAAGGGTCGGGCCGCTGTTCCAAATCCAACCCAGCCAACACCTAGACCTTTTTCTAAGAGACCCTCGTAAAAAAGGATCTTTATCCTCCCGTATCATGAACGCCAGCTTTATTGTACAAGTTGGGCAGGGCCCGCAGAGTGGTGAGGAGGAGGGTCATGCGCTAAGATCGACTTCGTGTAAATGCGGGACAAACGTCGAACTGCAGTAGAAGGTGAGAAAAAAGATTGCTGCGCCTGGTTTCGCGATTGGGGCTCGTCAGGGTAGCGGTAGAATGGTATGTATTTGCTGTGCGCAATTCCTTTTATCTTTGCTTTAGTCGACTTGTTTTAGGTCGGGCTCGAAGAAGACTTTTCGTGTTATCTGGTGGGCTGTTAGTTTTCGTCATAGCAGTACCAAGAACTGATTGAACGTACCGCCCATCCTCCCGCTACAGTCGCGCAGATACCCGAGCTAATAGCCATCTGCCTCGTCCCTCTTGTGCTCTTGAACAGCGCGCCGCTCAATGCGCCCGCCACGACGCTGTTGCTCATATCGTGCTTGCCGCGGTAGTACCCAATCGTGCTGTTCATACCATTATACACCATAGCAATCACACCCGCGCTGTTTCCCAGAAAAGGCCCTCGCCGTGTTATCGCATTGAGCACGCCGTTGATGCGCAACCGCGGGGGCATGCTGGGTGGATTCTTCTGCAGGCCCTCGGCTAGTCCCCACGCTCCTCCTATCGTCAGCGCCGTCAGATACGACACGCCCGTGCCGTAACATAAGTCGTCGGACCAGCCGCGTGAGGGCAGAGCGGATTGTGCGCCGGGCAGGTCCGAGAGGACGCTGTCTTCGAGGTTTAGGTAGTCGAGTGTGTCTTGATTGAGGCCGGCGAGGGGATGCAGTTGTGAGGGGTCGAGCAGGAATTCTGAGGGGTTTTGGATGGCCGTGTTGGGGTCGAAGGGTGTGGGTTGGAAGCTGTCTTCTTTTACGAAGTCGGCATTTTGGGGCGAGGCGGGCGCGGGTGCGGTCTCCTTGGACTTGCGTCCGGTTATGGAGTCCCAGCTAGCATTGGATTAGCATTGATGTGACTGAAAAGGCGCTGGATACTAGAGTTTATACATACATGGTCATGTTGAAGATGTCAGGTTGTGATGGCGGCGTAAAGAAATGTTGCGCCTGATTGTCAACAGCCGCACGAACAAAATCCCCCAGACGCCCGAAAAACCTCTATCAGACCGACGCAGCTAGGAGAAACAGCAGAAAAGAGGCAGGTGGTAGATGCGCGGGTATGGGATAGCGTGGGGCGGCGTTCGTGATGCTCACGAAAAGTTCTGGCGAAGCAACTTGGGCAATGACGGTCTCAGTGCACGGCCCACCTTCTCGAAGCCTCCCTGCTTCCGAGCTCGGAAAGGAACGAGATCGGAAAGAAAAGTTTAGACAGCCTCACCCACTTCGGGATAACGACAAACAACAACAATCCCAACCATGGCGCTCCCCGAATACAAGCAAAACTTCCTCAAAGACTGCGTCTCAGCCGGCGCATTGAAATTCGGCACCTTCACCCTCAAGTCCAAGCGCATATCACCCTACTTCTTCAATGCGGGTCTCTTCCACCGCGCCGACCTCCTCCGCTCCATCTCCTCAGCCTACGCACACACACTCAAGAACCACGGCGACTCGGACCCTTCGTTTCAATGGGACATTCTCTTCGGCCCAGCCTACAAGGGCATTCCCCTCGCAGCAGCCTCAGTCGACAAGCTCGCAGATCTGGACATGGCCAAGTACGGACAAAAGAGCTACAGTTTCAACCGTAAAGAGGCGAAAGATCACGGTGAGGGCGGCAACATCGTTGGTGCGAGTCTGAAGGGGAAGAAGATTGTTATTGTGGATGATGTCATTACGGCTGGTACGGCGATTAGAGAGGCTATTGATATTATTAAGAGGGAGGGGGGTGAGCTTGTGGGCATTATCGTGGCGTTCGATAGGCGGGAGAAGATGCCTACGGCGACTGATGATGATGGAAAGCCCGGCCCCAGTGCGATTGGAGAGGTTAGGAAACAATATGGTATTCCTGTACTAGCTATCTTAACGTTGGACGATGTTGTGGAGTATCTGAGGAGTCTGGGTGGGGAGGAGGATCTCAAGAGACTGGATGAGTATCGTGAGAAGTACAAGGCGAGTGATTAGGTGTATCTGGTGGGGTGTTTACGAAGTTATGATTATGGGAGTATGGGAGATGGGAATGGGCGGTTGCTAGAATACCCCGCGTGCCTTGCGGTCAATGCTGCAAGCATTTCAAGTCCACATGTTCTTCTTGACTCCGTGAGACTGTAAGGCGATCCTCATGACAACAAACGGCTGTGTCATTGGGGTGAGATGCTACATTAAAAATGAAACGCTGATTATTGTTATACTTCTATGACACAGATACAGAATGATACACGCGTTCAGAAGAGTGTGGATATCTTCTATCATCGCTCCTGGCTAAACGAACAAGATGCATAGCCACCTCGATGCATATCTCAATCCAATCCGGGAAATTTGACAGGGAGCAAACGTCTCAATCCGAACAGTCCTATTCAGAATAGCCCTCCATCACAAGATCAAGCTGGACAGCTAGCCTGAACTTGACGCGCCTGCTTCGGGAAATTCATCTCTTTGATGGTTGATCATCGTTCTTACGTTTTTCTTCCCGAGAACTGCCTCCACCAGCTTTCTCGTCCTGGATTCCTCGTCGCTGGAATCGTCTTCGCTAGGGTCGTCTGCGCTTAGTCGCCTTCGCTGGGGTCGTCTTCACCAGCATCGTCTTTACTAGCATCATCTTCGCTATCATCTTCGCTACCATCTTCGCTATCGCCATAATCTGATTCATCAGGATAGAAGCCGGGCGGAGTGTTGAGCGCGGGATGAGCATAATCCTTGGGGTCATAATCTGGCTCATTCTCGCAAAGGTAATGGCGTTCCGAAAATGCGATCAACGGACTCAAAATACCGGGTAAAGCATTGGCTACCGACTTGCGTTTTCAAGGGTTGGTCGCATGGTTCGAGGACTCATGGATAGGTCAGCATCTGGAGGTCAAATAAGCACTTACCTCGCGGCCCTCTTTGGAAATTAAGTCATCCAGACTGTCCAGATACTCTCTTGCTTCTTGCCTCCACTTGTCACTTCCACTCGTATCTCTGAGCACGTCGGCGAGCTTAAACTCTATCTCGCAGTATTCCTGATTCGGATGCATCCATTGGAAATGCAAAAACCCTCCTTCGCGGTCATATGCTTGGACAACAGGTCTCAGGAGTTCGATCCACGGGACCCACAAGTTTAATTTGACCTCCTCTTGAACAAATTCGATCTCGAGAGAGAAACCTTTCTTCTTCTTGATGCTCATCAGGACCTTGACAAGCGTCTCGGCCTGTGCAGGGTCGTCTATTGCATTGTCCGGTAGACGAACATACAGTGACCGCAACACATCTGCGGGGATAAGTCCAACGTCCCAAATGTCGTGACAAACGAGTCGTTCCAATAGGGGTATGGTGATCCAATCAACTAGGCCATTCCCATCGACGTCAGGATAGCTGGTAAAATGTTCCAGTCGCTCATACCACTTCGCCATGACTTCGTGAGCTATTTCCAAACCCATGAAGCGGCTCTGAATGAAGTGCGGCAACTCTGGTACTTTGTCTGGTACTCTGGTAATGAAGGGCAAATATGGTCTTACGGTGCGCCGAGGGCGGAGACGGTCTTGCATGGAATCTATATGAGCATCCAATGTTTTCCTATCCCACATATAGTCGTATATCATCTCTCTCAGTTCGGTCGGTAGACGGGTCTCTATCTCACGGGCGAATTGGAGATTCCATAATTCGCTGTATTTCGTGACAGCGGCCGGCCATTCTCGAAAGCGAACTTAGTGGTTGATCTACGCAGTTTTAGTTTCGTACAAGAAGAGAAACTCACTCTCTGAGGATTTTCGTTTGTTGTTTGGCGGTACGCCTCTTTGGGGCCTCGAGTTTGCTGCGAATGCTGTACGTATGTCAGTCTCCGCGGTTTCCTTTACGTAGGTGGTCTTACTCCACGAGGCTCTGATACGCGGCCTGGACATCGTCCTGCTGGACCGGCGTGGAATTGGCAGAATGAATAGGGGGCGCCTTTGGCTTAGACTTCGGTTTGGTCCCTCGGGCCATAGCTGGTAAACAACGAAATGGTAATCGAAGAGTTCACATCTCTATGTGTGCTGTGCAACCCCGCGGGAGTGTTTGGGTGTGGAAGTGCAAGCGTCACAAAGTTGGCGAGGGGATGACGCGTCGCTAGCGTGTCTCAAAACGTTCAACACGCGTGTCCCTTGCTTCCCCATGCCAAGCAACCCGCTTGCCGCGTACCGATTGCAAACTTCAACCGGCAGCAACGTGCAGACATTCATTGCGCATACACCGATGCTACTCTACGCCCAAGGCGCAAACGCTAGCAACGGAGAACTGCCTAGCGAGGATACTAGAACAGCGGCGCTTGCGGGCCGCAGACCATTCTCCGTTGGCGGCACAGTGCAGATGTGGGGCAGCATGCGCTGGAAACCCTACCTAGGTAAGGCAAGGCAGACACCTGCAATAGAGACCAGCGTATCGGAGACAATACACAGTGGAGCAGTGACGCTGTTACATTGGGATGAGAAGGATCTTTACTTTTCGAAGACTTCTTTTAGGCATCCAAATTGTGACAAGAAGGCGAGGTACAAAGGCATGCCCAAGAGCGCTTTCCTATCTCTATTATCCTTCGTTCTGTACTCTACTCATTCAGTGAACGACACAAACACAACCGCGAACTCGACATGCATCACCTCCGTGATGCTCTACTGAGCCCCTCGCCAGAGTATCCTCCCGAACTCAACCACCTAGACAATGTGGCTCATGACGTCCTAATGGTTCGCGAAGACGTGGCGCGTGGGGAACTTGACGGACTCCGCGGAACAGCCTTCTATAATCGAACCGGGGTTGTCAGTGAGCGATACTGCAGCCTAGGAGATGGTGTCGACTCTCTTGTACACCACATCCACTCTGCGTGGCACATGTATTACCAAGTTGCTGTGCACACGGCGTACGATACGCGCGAACAGGACCGCTTAGTCCTCGACATCGTGCGAATCCAGGGATTGGGGCCGTTGACCAGGCCCGCTACTGGGCACTACGGTATCGACATCGCGCGAACGGTAGATGGAACGGTGTGGAACGGTTAGTAATATTCCCGTACGAACTGTGTGTGAGGCAAACACTGACATTGTACACTCATCTTTAGAATTACCCTTTCTAGCTACTGACATGACCGCATTCTGGATCGAGAACTGCGCAGCCTTGAAGAACGCCCAGCGACTCAACCTCGCATCCTTTCTAGCTAAGCTGGCGTCGACTCGCGTTAGCAAAGATCGAATCTGTCAGATCGCTCTTCTGCTGTTCTGCTCTACCTTTGAAGGAAGAAGCAGCATCGACGGAGGCCAACCAGACGAACTCTCTTCACACCAGACGATCTCGACTCTCGATCTGACGCAGCTCATGCCGTCTGTATGTGCCTGGATCAAAGAGGCTGGTCACGTTCTTGTCCAACTCTCTGAACTCTCATGGAATGACTGTCCCAGTCATATCGGGCAGGGGGGGCAACACTTCCTTGAATCCGACTTCGGGAAGCGGTCACCGACTGGTTTCACCCCGTGGAGATGGATGTATTGGCTCAAACGTCTTCATGAAATTCGTCAAGAGGCGAAAGAGGCAAATGAGAAGACTCTAGAGGAGCAGACCAGTGAAGCTATTGACCGCATGGTCAGCCAAGTACACGATCGTAACTCAGGGATCCTCAGGGCGTATCAAGATCGCGGGGATTTCTTGAAGCTGGACGAGCATTTGGAGTGCTTGAGGGGTAGATAGATCAAACATACTTAGAGATCCCTTGATTTTATGCTCACCTTTTCTTAGTTGTTGGAGTTGCTAAAGTCTCGTTCGCTCACTCCACGAAGGATGGTGAAGTCTGCGGGACGGGGATCTCAGCTCGACGATTTTTCTGCTGGTAACACTACCTTCAACAATACGAACTCGTATTACGTCAGTATCAGTCTCAAAGATGCTATCGGTAAGATGTGATTCAATCAACTGAGCGCAGAGCAAGAGAAGATCTTGAAGACCCAGATTGAGATGGTACAGGAGAAGGGGTTGCAGAGTAGATACTGGCATACTCCAGGGTGGCCAATTAGTTTGAGAGATATGTTGTGGTTCAAGTTCACAGAGTCCGGTGTCAGGGTACTTAACGTGGAGGATTTGGTGTCGGCAACGAAGTGGAATTACCATCAGTGCATCGTCGTTGGCTTGACACCTGGGCACTCTGCTGACGTCACGTGCCCAAGAGCCGTTTCGGGACAAGCTCATGACGCACAGAGCCCGTCTAGAGAGAGCGCCTCCATGTCACCACAACGGCATCAGCAGCCAACTCTTTCGCCCTTATTAGCATGCAGAAAATTGAATTTACATGGAAATCTACACTCTTGGTCGATTGAATGCAATGGTGACAGCTCTGCAAGCAGGGCAAGGAGATGCACGGACACGTATGCACCAACGCGTCTCTAGCGCGCCGCCACAACTGAACACATGCGCTTCACGGCGAAGAGTACACCGTCGCTTGTACGCACCTTCATATATTTCGCCGACACGTGCTATAGTCGCTTTTGGCGCTACGGTTACCGGAAGTGCTTCGACCTGTACTTTCTGTTTGATCGGCAATGGGTCTTGCCTTGGCAGATGGGTCACTTCCGTTACATCCCTCCACACTGGAGAGGTGTCCTTGCGCCGGCTTCACCATGGCGGTTTCATGAACAACACACTTTTTGGTGGCATCACCACACCCGGCATCATTTCCCCCATCATTGCATGATACCTTAATCCGACTACATCGCATAACCTCCCATTCAGGCCACCCACTTGGTGCTGGCTGCTTACTTCTCACGACATCATTTCTCCCATTGTACATTCGATGAGAGACTACAGGTCTGCGCGTTTATCTCACAATGCGTAGGATTAAAGTGCCCCGCGGGGTGCCATACCAGCGGCCAATGTCGAGACAACATAAGCGAACCCTTATATATGCGCTTCTTTCGGCCGTCGCGTTCGGCGGGTATTACTGGCTGTACGCGCAGCCCACCGATGCGCTCGCTGTCGCATTCGAAGAGCACGAAGCGTATATGCATGATGGATCGAGTCTCGCGCGCATCAAATCCGAGCAATCATATGATTGGCGAGAAGCGCCTTTTGTGAACACGATCACCTCCTACATACCGCTGCCGACTACCGCTCCTCGTAAACTTCCGCGCGTCCAGTCCGAAGACTTTCCCGAAACAAGCGCGCAAAGAAAACAGAGGGAACAACGTAGAGTCGCCGTGCGAGACGAATTCAGGCATAGCTGGAATAATTACAAGAAGTTTGCGTGGGCACAGGATGAGCTTAAGCCAATTACTGGTGAGGGCGAGGAGTCGTTCGGCGGCTGGGGTGCCACACTCGTCGATTCGTTAGACACGTTGTGGATAATGGGACTCAAAGAAGAGTTTGAAGAGGCCGTGGAGGCCGTCGCGGCCATAGATTTTGGCAAGACCAATCTGACCACCGTGAGCGTCTTCGAAACGACCATCAGATACCTCGGCGGCCTGCTGAGCGCATACGACATGAGCGGGAAGCCTATCTTGCTTAAGAAGGCGATACAACTTGGGGAGATGCTGTATCGAGCGTTCGACACAACGAATAATACACCCCTGGGCTGGCTAAATGTGGAGGGTGTCAAGAAGGTACCCAGGCTGGCCTTCTCCGCCGAGAGCAACATTTGTTTTGCCTGTCTCGGCAGCTTAACCATGGAGTTCACGCGGCTGGCGCAGGTTACATCAGAGCCAAAGTACTACGACGCTGTTGCGAGAATCACCATAATGATGGATCGTGCGCAGGATAGCACAAGGCTTCCTGGCCTATGGCCGACCATGGTGAATGCCGCGAAGGAAGAATTCAATCAATCTCGCTTCTTCTCCATCGGCGCGCTTGCTGACAGCACGTATGAATACTTCCCCAAGATGCATGCGTTGCTGGGCGGGGTGGAACCTGCGTACGAGAAATTGTACCGCGACTCTGCGGAGATGATTGACGCATACATGCTGTTCCGCCCCATGGTGCCTGACAAGTTCCACGGAGAAGATCTACTCCTGTGCGGCGATGTCTTCACACACGGCGAAGAAGCCAAACTCGACCCAACCATGCAACATCTTACGTGCTTCATTGGCGGCATGTTCGGTCTGGCAGGTCGCCTGTTCTCTGATCCTGACCACGTGGATCTCGGCGCGAAGCTTACCAAGGGATGCATATACGCCTACGCCGCCACACAAACTGGTATCATGCCCGAGACATTCGATATGGTCGCCTGCGACTCCCGGAAAACATGTCCGTGGAACCAAACGGCTTGGGAAGAGGGCGCGCTGTATCATTACAGCAGCAAATATGTCGAAAGTTTCAACGATGCAGTGGAAAAGTACAAGATCCCACCTGGCTTCACCAATATCCGCGACAAGCGGTATCTGCTCAGACCCGAAGCCATCGAGTC